ATCTCAACTAAGTTCACAAAATTAATCCATATAATGTAATTTAACAAAAGCAAACTACATTAAGAGATTATGTAAACTAGCAAAGAAAGTCATAATCAGTTGAGAACAGAGTTTATCCTCAATCTTATATACCAAATATCTGGCACTTAATAGAATATATTCCCTATAAATCATGTTACGTATGCATTTACTGAAGGAAAAAGAAAAAGCTGTCATGTACTTCCACCTAACTTTTGTTCTCCCATACGCACACTGAATCTTTAAAAGCATTTGGCAAAATTAGTATGTATAAAACCTCCCAGAAGAATGTTAATATGACTATAATTTGAGAAATTGAAGACAAAAAGCAAGCCACATAAAGGTACCACATTAGTAATGGGGAAGGGGCTATAACTATGGATATAGAAAAAATTAAAATAGTTATAATCAGTACTTTATATAGCTATGCTGCTTTGAAAAATGAATGGGAAATATAAATAAAAAATAGTCTAAACAAGAAAAAGAAAACATTAGAAATCAATAACTAGAAACTTTTGAGAAAGTAGTCAAAATTTTATGAAAGTACCACCTTAAAGCTGGGTCAGAATGCATTTCTTCAAAATTTTAAAGAATTATTTAAATGGTTTCTCAGCATATAGACAAAGATGAAATAATTCCAATTCTTTTTATAAAGCTGTATTTGATCCTCAAGTCTGACCACAAGAATTATAAAACCTTGATGAATCTCACTTATAAAAACAGATTTTTTAAAAATCACAATAATAAAGAGCTAATATGCTAATGGTCGGGATGCCATAACGGGTAAAGGACCAATCGCAGGAGACTGCCTGTGCGTGCACTGTGGGCCATTGCTCCAAAGACAGGGCAGAAGTGGGGAAGCACCCAGAGAAGGTGGGACCATCCTGTGCTGGGGAGGGCGGGGGTGAGAGCCCGTAGCGCCAGTTCTTCGCCACCCACTGCTCACACTCAGAGTGCTCCGCCACCCACCTGCCAGAGGAAGGAGCACAGTGCAGCAGGCGGGAGGCTTCCACACTCTCCTCCGGTGCCATGAGAGGGCAGAGCCACCTCATTGCTCTGGAGATGGGTAGAAGTGGGGAGGTGCCAGGAGAAGGTGGGACCAGCCCAAGGCAACTCTAGGGACTGAGAGCAGGGCTTGAAGCTGCCAGAGAAGGCCGGAGGGGTTGGGGGCTGGGCCAGGCGTGTTGGAGCTCTGCATGGAGAGGGTCAGATGTCAAGGCAGGGTGGCAGGTGGGTGGGCGGGGCTACGCAATTTCACACACTGGACTCCTAGTCTTACCTAATAATAGAAAAACATGTAAATTGACTGTCCCTCCACTACACTCACCAGCCAATCAGAAGAGCATGCAAATTAACCCAACTAAGATGGCGGTTATTTTGCATACGTAGATGCAAAGCGGTGGTGCCCAGCAAAGATGGAGGGCTCTGGGCCAGAGCAGCAAAGACGGAAGGCTCCAGGCCGGAGCGAAGGCCTGGGTCTCAGGTGCCGGAGGAAAACTGGTGCCGGCAGCCAGGGGAAGGGAAG